CCGAAAACAGTCAGCAATGGAATTTTCATTAAGCCCTCATTCACATGAGTAACGGCCGGCCCATACAGATCTGTGTTGCGTGCACAGCCGTATCGGGTAGCTCCCGGGAAGGACAGGTGCTGTGTGTGATTTGTACGCAGCAGCCCGTCCTTCTCTATGGGAGTACGGGGCTGTACGCCGCTCTGTGCTCACCCGACCTGCACGTCCGTAAGGGTGCAGGTGTCCCTGCTCAGACGCAGACAGGACGTGCAGGTCGGGTGAGCGTAAGGCGGCGTACGGCCGCATACTCCCATAGAGAAGGATGGGCTGCTGCGTATAATAAACACACGGCACCTGTCCTTCCCGGGAGCCGCCGGAAGCGGCTGTGCACGCAGCACAGATCTGTACGGGCCAGCTGTTACCCGTGTGAATGAGGGCTTAATGTGGAAGTAAGCAAAAATCAAGAAATAGGAGTGCCTGTGGATATAGTATACTTAAACTGTGCAAAAGCGTTTCACACAGTTCCGCACAGATGGCTAATGTGTAAATTAAGTTATACAGGTTTCGAAAATACAGTCTGTAAATGGATCGAAAATTGTCTTAAAGCAGGGGTAGCAAACCTCCGGCCCTCCAGCTGTGGTGGAACTACAAATCCCATGAGGTATTGCAAGATTCTCACAGCTACAGACATGACTCCCGAAGAGAGATGCATCATGGGCTTTGTAGTTTCACCACAGCTTGAGGGATGGAGGTTTGCTATCCCTGTCTTAAAGACTTGAAGGGATAAAGTGAATTTAATATTAGCAGTAGTTTTTGTCTTAAGTTAGAGTACTTGTTTAAGCTGTAACAACCTTTAGAGTTTCGAGTTACTGGAAAAAACACGATGTAACAGGAAATGAATGTGCATCGTTTTGATTTTGTATGCAGCAGTAGCTATGCTTTTCTTATTTGTGATTGGTTAATGCTTAACCACCAACCTTTGTTTACTCAATATAATTCAGGAACGCATCAAATAAATGTAATACTGGGCTGATATCACACACCTTATTGTTTGGGTTAATTCCCATATCCCAAGCTCGAATTGTCCCGATTCAACAGAGAAGAAGTTGAAATCTGGGGCAGATTTGACCCCCCTGGGTTATCACAGAGTAACCCATTAGGACTGCATTCAGATAGTGGGGATTGATTAATATTCTGAATAGTCTAAGGTTGTTTGTGGTGTACCCCAAGGTTCAGTGTTCTGACTCTTATTTTTTGACCTGCTATATATGCTATTTATGAATGATTTGGCTGGCATTTGCTTGGCCAGCTGATTTGAAAAATGTTCCGGAGGGCTTGGCAGCGAAAGGGTTAAAAGTACAATTCCTGTAACTGCAATTGACACCAAGCTATATAGTTGAATAAAGTCCCTATGTCTCCAACCTACAAGCAGTCCTGAATGCACGGTTTAATTGGGCAGCCATGCCAAAAATGAGGTTAAACCCTTTACCTATGCCATATGCCCCTGGCAAAGGGCCCCTCTAAAACAGACTCTTGGCGGTGGAATGTTTGTTAACTTACCTATTCTTACTGCCATAGCAAGGAAGAATTTTCTGCATCCATGATGGTTTTAATGGGACAAATCTATGCCATGACCGAGGCAACAGACCTCAGAGGGAGAAAGCGTAGTCCTGGCCCCCCTTGCACAAGTGTGACTTCCCTTAAGAAGAAGAAACCCTCTCTGGTGGAAGAGGTGCTATATGCAGATTGGCAGCAGCCTGAAAAAGTGTCCACTCCCCTGAAGCGTTATTGAGGGTTACCTTTGTATTATCCAGTGGAAGGCCCTCTCCATGTGCACCTTTTCTATGGTAGCTATTGATTGGGGAAGCTGTCATTCTTTGTTTCAAAAGTCCTAAAGTTATTCTTTATTTTTTCGGGAGCCCCTGGACCCCTTAGACTCACCTTACTAGCAATAATTTGCCACTCCTTCCTTGTATGGAACTGTTCCAATAGAATATCTATATCTCGTTTTTCTGGCTATGAAGATGCATGTGACTGCTGCCCTGTGACAATGCTGGGGTCTAGCAGCCAATTGGTAGGCAACCACTGTAAGATGACAGAGAGAATGCAGTCATCACTTCCCCAGGTTGCCAACACTTACAATTTTAGTGCAGGCTGTAGAGGAGCGGCAAGTTATCACTGTTAAGGTTATATGTGGGGGGGTGGGCATTTCCAAAAGCCTCGTTATTGTACACCCTCTGTTCTTCAATTAAGTTTTTTGGGGCGTATGTAGCACACCTTAGATTCCGCAACTTGTTAAGGTGGATGTAGTCACAAATAAATTTGTGTAAATTGCTTCCTTTTTGCATTGGAAATACTGTAAAGTTGTAAAAGGTTTTTCTTTTGGCGTGCACTCATGTTTTATAAATGCACATTGATCCAATCTGCTGCAGTCAAAGCTCATGCTTTTAGATTGACAGCTGCTTTGACCATTTAAATGCAGAGACTGCAAACTTTTGTAACCGCCACTTTTGCTGGATTGCTTGACCTGTTACAGGAATAGGAAAATATCAGTTCTACAGGGGGGGGCAGGATCAACAAGCCATACATTTATATAGCATATTGTTATATAAAGACTGCATCATATCTCTATTTGTTCTTGAGCCTATAGTTGCACTTTATTTCTTCTAAAAATATCGGCTTGTGTATAGCCATATTGTTATCATAAAATCATGGCACTGATCATCCTAATAGACTTGTGTTGAGGAGTGGACTTACTGAGTGGTCTTCATTCTGACGTTTCTCCTTGAAACTGGTAATAGCATTCATGTAGAAATGTATAAAGTCTTTTGGAAACAAGGAGACGTTCATCCACTCCAGGACAGGACGAAGGAATGGAAAAAGGACTGAAAGCAAAATAGTCATGTTACTCCAGGAACATTTTTTTTAGTACAACAGACTTTCTGTATTCCAAACTTGTTGGGCATAATACAAATGTCTCTAGGCTTTATGGGGCAAAACTAATAGTTCCTGTGCTCAATATTTTTTACTTGGAATATGCATCTCAACATCTTATAAACTAGCATAAATATAGGGGTTGTTCCTGCTAACCTTCTAACAGAAAATACTAGTTAATCAGCTGATGTTATCCCTCTGGCTTCAATATTTTCTGAGCCACTGGCCTGGATTAAGTATGTATCGGGATGTCAGAAAAGTTGGAGTAAAGTCAGAAGCCTTATCTGCTTACATGTTTGGGGTTTGTGACAAAAAACTGAGACAGGTTTCAAAATGGCAACCAGTATTTGCACAACAAGATGTCAGCAAGCAATGTTTCTCTCATTAAAGGTTGCTTCTAAGACAATACAAATATTTTCTGGTTGTACACAAGCCTCTCCTCAAATCTAATCATGCACGACCGTATCTGTGTTGCTTAGTAAAATCAATATTGTCTAACCAAAAATGGTCCAGTTAGAAGGTACTTTGTATAATATGCGTTTCACATATGTTTTTCAAAAGGCTGAGTGAGCATTACAGAAGACTTGTTTGGTTTTGCAGAAATAGGTTTTGTACAAATGGACTATACAAAGCATTGTGGTAAAATTGAGCTGCATACTTTTATCTAACATTAAGATACAAAAAAAATAGGACGAGACATTGCATTCAACTAAAAGTGAAACATCAAGTAAACAACTCATAAATGAATTACTTTGCAGTTTCCTGCATCACCCCTCCTTCTCCAGCATCCTCAATGGAAAGCTGATTGCATCGTCATCTATTTCCAATAGCCCAGGGAGCCGGAAAGCCAAATCAAGAAACAGTAAAGTAATCTTCCTAACTATACAGTGTGACAGATGTGTGTAAATCCAAAGACTGACAGAACAGAATTAGAAAATGCTGTGTACTTTGCTGTCTAGAGCTACATCTTAATGTGAAAAGACTGTAAATAAAATCTACTTTACCTACAAATATAAGCAAAGGGCTGAATAATCCAAACTTTAGAAACTGCTTGGTCTTTGTAACAAAAGGGTCATTTGGCTTGTTTAAAGAATCGACATGCACACCAAAGGAACTGCTGGTGACAACATCCATACTGTAAGCTCCCAAAACACTAGAAAGGGAAAATGAGAAAGTGAGTCTGTACACATTATACTGCACATGATCATACAGAGTCAACTAGAAGTCTGTTCCCCCTACAGGAAATATGATGTTCTTCCAATGACTAACTCAGAAGCACATTGAACAAACTATGAACAGTATACGGAGCCTTCACGCTCAATAATAATAATTATAGCAATAACTAGATATTTATAGCTGCCTACAAGATGGATGCTGGATGCAGGCTCATCCTGACTGCTTGACTTGAGCACTGAGTCATCATTTAGATTGTTAGTCAGGTTGGGCATAATGTGCAAACCTTGGTTTGTGAACCATCTTGAATATAAAGGAGCAGTTTTCCAAAGTTTAACTATTGAGCCTGACTTTATTGAATGTATATTATCAATATTAGCAAATTAATTCATAATTAGGATAAAAGGGAGCGTAATGTCCAGCCCCTACCAGACTTATATGATTGGATGGAGCCATAGCTTGTACACCCCCTGCATCTGCTATAGGGGCAGTGGACTTTCATATATTATTATTTCCATGTTTATAGGAATTTTTGAAGGTGATACCCCATCTGAGCAGAGCCAACAATAATTCATACCAAACACAGAAAGAAAGAACATCCCATTTGTCTGAGAAATGACATTAGCGGACGTCTAAAGACGCCCGCTCAGATCTAGAGAGCTCCTGGCCGGCCGTTTTTTTACTACGGCCGGCCCGGAGGCAGTTAAAGTGCATATATAGAAAATGTTTTCCCCGCTAAAGAATCTGAATTCTCTACAGTAAACTTTCTGATCCAGGAATCCTTTGGCTGACAGAACAGCCTTATATTTACCATTTCAATGCAGCACCCTCAAGGTGCTGATTGGACAATGGAAGAGCAAAGATGTAATGATGAAGTCATCTACCTGCTCATTCTGGGCTTGTCAGCATGTACACTGTAAGCACACATGTGTTGTAGTGGAGTGCTGCCGTACAAGCCATTAAGGCAGACTGATTTCAAGACATTTATTTAGTCACATTAAAGAAATACAGTGATTTTTTTTAATATATACATTATTTAATAATTCAATTGGTGTTCTTTTTTTAATAGCTCCCTGGAGTTCAGCTTTAATAAGATTTTATTTATAATTAATAGACTCACTCCTTCATTGGACATGGCTCATCTTTGTCAACATAAACTTGAATGTTGTTGACCAGCATGGTAGAATAGTCCTTCATTATCGGGAACATCTAAAGAGTAGAGATTTCAGCTCAGAATAATTGAATTCTATATCTGTGCAGAAATGCAAAAGTTAATAATATCCTGTAGAAAACATTATTTATTCACCAATCTTAAAATAGCAGCCCACATAGAAACAGTTTGACAGCGGTTTTCAACCTGTGGGTCACAACCCCCTGTTGAATAGGTTGCCGTGTACCTTCTGCTGCGCTAGGTGAGAGGCTCCTCAGCCTCCTTCTAGCACAGCAGTGTCAGTTACTCCCCGGCCAACAGATGTCGCAGCAGCAGTCGCAGCCTCTGCTGCCGCTGCTGACTTGCTGCTGCTGAAAGCTGCGTGACGCTTGATGTTTGGTTTGGTTTGTATTTTCATACAAACGTGCTGTTTTACTGCTAAAAATATTACAATGCCTTACTAAGGCCAGAGTCCAGTGCGTTACTAAGGCCAGAGTCCAGTGCGTTACTAAGGCCAGAGTCCAGTGCGTTACTAAGGCCAGAGTCCAGTGCGTTACTAAGGCCAGAGTCCAGTGCGTTACTAAGGCC